GACCTGAAATGTGCACAAGATCTTGAGGTTTCAATGATTTGATTTTTTTCATGATTTGTTTTGATTTAAATGAATTAATTGAAATAAAAAATCAAAATAAATAGAAAAAATAAGATAAAGACAAATGGGAAGAGCTAGGGATCATGGACCGTGCTACCAACTCAAAACAAGTGCAAAAAGTTAGGCCCATTTAGCAAAAATTGCAATTTGAGGCACTTTTGACTTTTGGCAATTTTGCAAGAAAGGTCAACTTCACCAATGCCTAACTTCTTCAATTTTGACTCTTTGAAGGTGTTATTGGACTTTTTAGAAAGCCCAGGATTTCCCATAGGCAAGCATTTTGGTCTCATATCAATTTGGTATTCCATGTTCATGTATGAAGCTTTGACAAAAAAGGTGTTTTTGTTGATTTTTCAAAATGACCTATAATGTCCAAATTCATAACTTCTTGTGAGTGCATATTTTGAACTTGGGAGCTGAAGATGAATTGTGAGGAATTGATCCTCTTCAAAATGAGCTTTGGATGGGTCATTTATCATAAAGTATGAGAAAGTTATGCTTGGTCAAAGTTGAGTTGACTTTTCCTACAAAACCCTAATTTAGCAACTTTTGGGTTTTGATGCATTGTGAGGAATCCTTGATGAATCATGATCAACCCTTGATCAAATGATGAATAACACTTCAAAATGAGGATGTTGACCAAAAATCTTGAAGTTTGACTGTATATAGGCCATAGTTGACTTTTGCCATAACATAGTCGATTTGCAGGCTTTTGAGCAATTGACTGAGCAAATTTCCTCTGCAAGGCTTGAAACTTGACATGAATGATCTTGAGAACATATTAGGACAATGGTGAGCATTTGGGATCCCTTGGACTCAAGTATCTTGATGCAACATGAAACCCTAATTTGAGGTAGACTGCCTTAGGAGAGAGTTTGTCTGGTCCACCCTTGGACTTCCTTGAGCAATTTGAAGACCTCACTTGAAATGTATTGAGAAATATGGGAGGGCAAATTTTGGGGTACAAAAACATCTTACACACATATAACACCATTCACATATTAGAGTGTGAAAGAATCAACGCACCCTCGTCTCTTTAACTTACTTCATGTTGGTCTTGTACCCATCTTCATCACTTCTCAAACTTCACGCAAAAGGTCAAGAATATCTCAGACGAGATATCCTTAATAGCAGCCATCAGGTAGGAATCAATGCTTCCTTCAGCAAACCTCAATCATCCAGTTCCTCCAAGGAAAGCCAAAGCACCAGAAGACAAGTAAAACCTGATCACCCTAGGTTTTACACATCAGAGGTACATGCATCAGAAAGGAAATGCCTCACAAGCAACACCACAACCACATTACTAGCTCCAAATAACACTTCAATCTTTCCTTGTCCAAAGTACCAGAAATTATCTTCCCCGATCTCACCCAGAATAGAACAGGATGCCTGCTCTGATATCAATTGAAATTTTGGTATATAGATAAAAAAATGCTAACACATGTTGAGACATTGATCTCTGTTTAACATAACAGAGACAAGGCAAAGCATTACGAGATAAGACTTATCAGTTCAAAGTCGTGACAAATGATTCAACATCTTAAACGACATGTCGATCAATCAAGAACCAAAACGGAACAATGCAGAATGGTAATAACACACACATATGATGACCCAGTTCAGTGTAACAACACCTACTCTGGGGGATACCAAGCCAGGAAGGAAGTCCAATATTAGTAGTATTAGTTTAAAGTTAAACAATCCCAGTTTACAACTTCTCGCCTAATCCCTACTCAATGCAACTTCTACCTATGAACTTCCTAAATATGAGAAATCGACATCTCACTTCCTAAATCACCTCAGTGATATATATCAATCACAACCTCTGGTGACTACATCAAACTACTTGAAAGATACCTCTTTCAACATAAGGTTCAGCCAAGACTCTTGACTAACAAACATACTTGAATTTGCTTCAGAGCTTCATCCAAGAACAATACACGATTCATTACCTAAAGGCTTTCGAATTTGCATACAAACAATGTCTACCATAATGTATTAAATTGATACAGAGGGTGATTTACAATACAAGAGAGTACTCAACTCTCAAAACACTAAACCCTTATTCTATATTAAGAAGGGCTACACCAGGATTAGTTTTTAAGCACTAGGTCTAAGCCTTCCTTTTATAGACTTCATATGTCCACTGGCTTTGATCTTCTATTAAAATACTCCTTTGATTCATTGCTAAAGTGCTCCTTAAATCTTGGAACAAGTTTACTAAAAACCAGTTGTAGCAGTACAGGATGTCGAGACTTTATGGTAGGACATCCTTGTTCAACAAGTTGTTCTTCACATATTTTAACATCTTGATCATCATATTTTTTTAACCAAAATTAGCTAAATCTTCAGAGCTCAAAACTTTAGAGCTTTCAGTGTTCATCCTCACCCTCTCTCGTCACTGCAGTTGCAACACTCGCTGTCATGGAATCACCTACAAATTCTCCTTGCATTTTTGAAACCCTATCTTCCCTCTCCACTCGGTCCCATTTGTCAGGAGTCAACATGTTTGGTCCAAAGTTGTCCATCAAGCTCAATGACAACAACTTTCTTCCGTCGAATATGCAAATTGAAGGTGTAATCCTCACCAACAGGTTGCACAAGTTCGTGGTGAGTCCTCAAATTTTGCAGAAATTCAAATCTGAGCTTGACCGTAAAAATCTCGTCACCTCCGATGAATATGAAGCATGGTTGATGCAAGATCAGGTACTTTTCATCAAGCTCCTTTCAAATATCTCTAAATTTATGCTTCCAAGAGTTCTTTCATGCAAACACTCTTTTGAAGTACGGGAAATAACTCCAAGCATTTCAACACGGTGATGAAGGCCAAAGTTTTCCAACTGCATTATGAGCTCGAGACTATGAAGAAAGCGAATCGCACAATGTCAGAGTATGTTCTCAAGATCAAGTTTATTGTTGATTCTTTGCTTGTTGTAGGTGATATTATCATAGAAGAAGCTCAAATTGATGCTATCTTGGATGGTCTTCCATAGGAATACAATTCGTTCGTGATGCAAATGTATGGTAAATCTGATTCCCTCACACTCTATGATGTTGGAGCATTATTATACATGCAAGAAGTACAACTAGATAAATTTAGACTAGAACTTGCACTTTCCAATGTCTCTACCAATCTTACTGTGTCCAATTCCAAACAAAATACTTCTTCAAATTAAGGAAATTCATACAACATAGGTCGTGGCTATAGCTCTCGTCGCAGAAGCAAGGGTCGAGGAAATTCCTCTTCCAGCTTTGGAAATAGGCTAACTTGCCAACTTTGTGGCAAGTATGGACTTGTTGTTTTGGATTGTTGGCACAAATTTGATGAAGCCTTCATGTCTGATGCTTCTACTTAACAAACAACTCAAAGAGCAAGTGCTGATCAAATGGCTTCCACCTCCAAAAGTGATGTTCCTCATAATGCCATAACATTAATGGCTACCCATCATTCCTATGGAGCTACCCAGGAGCTGAATGTGCCCTTAAACCTTGATTACCATGCCTGGTTTACTGACTCAGATGCTTCACATCATCTCACTTCCTATTCTAAATTTATGCATAGTGGTAAATGATACATAGGGTCAAACAAAGTCTATCTAGGTAATGGTCAATTTTTAGACATTCATATTATTGGATCCTCACAATGTTACTCCACAATCACACCACACTTCACACTAACACTCAAAGTTATTTTGCTTGTACCAAAAATTACTATGAATCTCCTATTTGTATCTCAGTTATTTAAGGATAATGATGCTTATTTTGAATTTTATCCTAATCACTGCTACATTAAATCCCAGACATCTAAGTTTACTTTGCTAGAAGGAGTTCGTGATGCTCATGGCTTGTACAGATTCTCCTTCATGCAAGCAGATAGGCTGACATCTCCAACATCTGATGGGATTCAACCACCTTTTCCAACTGTCAATAATGTTGTGCAAAGTCAAGCTGGTACAAGATCTATTCTTTATGTTTGGCACCATAGACTTGGTCACACCCATTCTGAGGCAATTAAGTCTATTCTACACAACTGTAATATTTCTATACCATGTACAGACACTCTGGAATTTGTAATAACTGACAAAAAATATAGAGTCGTCACCATTAATTTTTATCTTAAGACGGGAATATAATAGAATAACCCTAATTGATGATAAAGAGATTCTAAGTTCTTGACTCACTTTAGACGAAAGGAAGGTGTTAGGCACCCTTCATCTACCTTGTTCACAAGGATACTAGGGTTTAGGTTTAAGGTTAGGAATATTGTTTTAATTTTTAGTTAGGGGAACTCGTCACGATTTTTAAGTTGTATGCCTATGTATTCTCTTATGAGGAATTAGAGTCCCAATTCATCGTTCATAGTGTTTGTTGGTGTTTTGTATAAGATTGCATAGAATTGCTTTCGAATTATCCTTGAACCTTGTATGGGTTTGAAAAATGAGTGATCTTAGACGCAATTCATAGTTAATTTTGATAGCAATTCTCCTTAATCCTTTTTAGAAAATAATCTTGTAGTTTTAGTAGAAAAAATAGTTTTTGATTGGTTAGCTGTTTTGAATTTCGATTTGATTAAAAAGTATGATAACACAGAGCGGGAGAAGTCTGATAAAGTCTTCCTCCTCATGTGGCCAGATATTGGCCACGTGTTGCTCGTCATGAAGGATGCGGATCTTATCATTAAAAAAAGATTATTTAATTAACTAAACTAATTTAAAAAAACTAAATAGAACCTAAGGGATGCAAGTTGAAATGAGGTGTTGATTAGTAACATAACAAAATTAAAACACGAGACCCATATGTATTTTATTAAAACTATAATTATTCATTTACTAATAAAATGATTAAAATAAATAAACTAAATAATAAAAAAGCAAGAAAACAAGGAGGTGTTCTCTTACAGCTCACCTTTATGCATTCTTTAAATTTCTAAACCTCCCTCTTTAAGCACTCGTACGGCGAAGATGGCAGGGCTTGAGAGAAAGAAAAAAAACAAAAAAATAAGAAAGCATACAGCAAGCCCACATGTGACCCGTGAGATAAGTTTACACACCAAAGGCACCAAACCAGTTGAAAATATATAAAACATGGGAACATTAATCAATTAAATAAAATATTTGGTCCAATTTATCTCTCTCATCGATTTCCATTCTTCTTTCTCACAATAAAACCTTTCACAAAACCATATCTAAATACTTCATCATTTCACCACATCTCAAAATTAACAACGCAGCCATATATCTCCACGTAACTTAAACAACATAAATATCAAAAGAAACTACAAGGCTAAAAAGAGAAGCTCGAAAAGACTTAAGAATCTGGCTAGCTTTAGTGTGAATCAGAGATAGATTAGTGTGGTGCGGCTGAAATTGCGTGTATCAGTTGATCGTAGAAACCGGGGTGTCACCGGAGGTGCGTATGGGGTCGGGGGAAGCTGACATGAAGGAGTCACAGCCGGCTGTGGTTCGAGAGGCATGATCCGTCGATGATTTGAGGTGTGTATCGTGGATGTCTGGTTGTGAAAGCTGGGCAGAGTTATTGTTGATGCGTTTATGTGTTAGTTGTTGTGATTGAACGAAGATTGAGAGTGATGTTTTGTCTGGTGTTGATCAAAATAGAGGCTTGGGTTGTTGTTGTTGATGTATGATTCTGACGCGGTGGCTGGACACCGGCCGATTGTTTATAGACTTCGTGTGAAGTATTTGAGGAGGATGTGTGAATTTTAATATTTTTTTTTGTAAAGTATTGAATTAATTTGATTAACTAAAAATTTAGAATTATGTACAAGCTAATTATTAACCTAATAGAGTAAGTACATATTTAATATTTTTATATAAAATAAGTTAACTAATCTAATTGTCTTTACTAAATAAGTTAATTTAAACACAATAACTAAACAGAATCTTTTTGTATTTTTTGGTTAATAAAATAAATGCAATTGCTCAAAATCTTTTATTTTTTGGTTAATAAAATAAATGCAATGGCTCAAAATCTTTTTGTATTTTTTGGTTAATAAAATAAATGCAATGGCTCAAAGTTTAGTATTTATAACTACTATACCTATTATTCTACATGAAAAAAACTCAGTATCTTACTTTCATATAATTTCACAAAGTTTAGCATTTAGTTGTTTTTTGTATTCTATACTTCTTCATTAACTAGAATTTAATTATTTGAAAACCTAAGGAATATTCTAATTAACAAATTAAATCAATAGATATATTTTAGAAAAAAAATAGAAACAGGGAAACCTAGTGTGAATGATATGTGCTTATATATAAAAAAATGGAAAGAAAGACGTAATAAATCTAAAACCCGAGTAAATTTCAAGAAAGCAAATAAGTAACAACAGAATTAAAATAATAATAAAAAAAAATAGAAAGAATACCAAAAATAAATCAGGTGGGGTTTTGAGGCGTGAGGATGTTGTCGTGTTGGACGACGAAATTGACCGGGTTTCTCCGATGGTGAGAGGGCGCGGCTTGGATGGACACACGGTGGGTTTGAGGCGGAGATGTTGAGTTTCGCGGCGGCTTCGTCGTCGTGGAACTTGTTGCGGCTTGGTTATGGTCAGGAACGGAGCCACCGACGGTCTTGTGCAGGGCTGGCCTTAAGTTTCGGTGTTTATGGCATAAAGGATCTTAGTCCTTCTTTTCAAATCGAAGCTCTTTTAGTTATGCTTTTTCCAATCTTTATTTCTAATCTGGTTTGTTTGTGATCCTGAAACTTTGTTGTTATAAAAACATGTTGTTGTTAATGAATAACAAAAAAAAAAGATTGCAATTTCTGATTGAGTGTCAATGAAAGTGGTGATGCAACCTAAGAGATTCGAACCACAACCTCCATTTACAACCTGTATTTCTTCTCAATTGTACTATATTACTCATTTGAAATAATAATTCAATTGAAAGTATATGAAAGATGCACAGATATTCGCTATTTAAAAAAATATAAATAATTTAAAAGTAAACTATTATATTTTTAAACAGACTTAAAAACAGATATTTATAAAACACAAAAGGTTGTATGAATAAACTCAAAAATAATTTTAAAATCCAAGTTTTAAAATAATTTCGACGGTAACACCAAGGCGGTAAATTTGGAGTATGCATTATATAAATCCGGTTATCTAGAAAAATCACACAAACTATTTGCACCTATGACTAACACAATTTATCACACACCCTTTGAAGTGATCCACACAGATTTGTGGAGTCCCTCCCCAATTTCCTCTAGTGGTGGCTTTAGATATTACATTGCTTTTGTGGACACCTTTACTAGATATACATGGATTTATTTTCTGAAAAACAAATCTGATGCTCTTAATTCTTTTATGCTCTTTCATGGTCATGTTAAGACTGAATTTCAAGCTAATGTGAAGTCAATTAAATCTGACTATGGGGGAAAATTCAGGTCATTCACTAATAATTTAGCTAAATTAGGCATCACACATAGGTTAACTTGTCCCTATACTTCTCACTAGAATGGAACAGTGAAAAGAAATCACATGCATATTGTAGAAATGGGGCTATCCTTACTTGCACAAGTTTCCACTCCTATCACCTTTTGGGATCACAATTTTACCACAATTGTGTATATGATCAACTGGCTTCTCACCAGATATCATAAGGCCTTTTCATCTCCCTTTCATGCTCTTCATAAATATATGCCTGACTGTAAGTCCCTAAAGACTTTTGGGTGTGCCTGTTTCCCTCACCTCATACCCTATAATCAACATAAATTACAGTTCAGGAGTATTCAATGTGTGTTTCTAGGAGTTTTCCCTCAGCACAAGGGCTTTAAATGTATGAATTTAAAGGGTAGAATCTTTATATCCAAGGATGTTGTCTTTGATGAAACCTCCTTCCTCTTTTCCACCATGTTTACCTCTTCCATGTCACCTGTCACAATTGATTGGACTGTCTATGAAACTGACAGTCTGTCCCCACTTACTCAGTCTCTTATAATTCCAAACACATTTATACCTGTTGGATATAATTCTAATCCCTCCCAACATGTCTTGCCAAATGGTAATTCCCTATCTCATCCTAAAACTGATGTGCCTGAACCTATACCTGCTGCCCCTGAACCTATCACCCTACTTTCTGCATCTGCTGCATCTAAAGCAGGCCCCTCCTTCAACAATCTGTCCACTGGTCCAGCGCTCACAATTGAAAATTTATCCAATTCAGGCTCATATCCTGATACATCACTTTCTAACATACCTTCATTAAATCCATTAGATAACACTCCTACCTTAAACTCAGTGGATAATAACCAAAATTCTTCTGCTAACATGCTTAGTTCTCCTGCTGACATGCCCTTAGCAGACTCTTCTTCTCATCCCCAAAATAAATCTCTTGTCACAAACACTCACCCTATGGTAACTAGAGGCTAGACAAGTAACCTAAAGCCGAAGGTATTTCTAGCCTATGTTGAACCATCCTCTGTTAAAGAGGCTCTCTCTAACCCTAAATGGTTAGCAGCTATGCAGGATGGGTATAATGATCTTCTTGTTAATAATACTTGGACTCTCACATTTCTTCCTCCTCATAGGAAAGTTGTTGGATGCATGTGGGTTTTCAAAGTAAAAGAAAATGTTGATGGTAGTATAAACAAGTTTAAAGCAAGATTGGTTGCTAAAAGTTACCAACAACAACGGGGTTTTGATTATAATGAAACATTTTCTCGGTAGTAAAACCCACTACCATCAGGATTCTTTTGACTCTAGCCATCACCTACAAGTGGGAATTACAATAAATAGATATTAACAATGCTTTTTTAAATGGTGACATCCAGAAGGAAGTGTTTATGCAGCAACCTCCAGGTTTCATAAACATCTTGTATGTAGACTCAACAAAGCCTTGTATGGCTTAAAACAGGCTCCTCGAGCCCGGTATGATAAATTGGCACATGCACTACTTCACTTTGGTTTTACACACAGTAGATGTGATCATTTTTTATTCATCTACTCATCTCATATAATTAAAATGTATGCCTTAGTATATGTAGACCATATCTTGGTGTCTGGTTCCTCTTCTGCTTTAGTTCATGATCTCATTCAGAAATTGCATAAGAAGTTTGCTCTTAAACATTTGGGAAAACCAACTTACTTCTTAGGGATTGAGATACTGTATCAATCAAACGGATCTTTACTGCTTACTCAGTCTAAATATATGCACGACTTACTATCTAAAGCTCACATGCCAAAGGCTAATGGAGTTACCACTCCTATGTTAAGTCAGTGCAAGCTAAAAAGGCATGTGACTGATGTATTCTCTGATCCAGGTCTGTATCGTTCCATTGTAGAGGCTCTGCAGTATGTTACCCTTAATAGACCAGATATAAAGCCTGTCGGTTTATGCCAGTTCCTCTTAATACTCATTGACTAGCCGTCAAACTCATCTTGAGGTACCTAAGTGGCACTATCTTCTTTGGGTTACTTCTTAATCCTGCTCCCATGGATAAAAAATTTACTCTTCGAGCCTATAGTGATTTTGATTGGGCTAGCGATCCGGATGAACGTCGTTCTACCTCAGGTTCCTGTGTTTATTTTGGCCCCAATTTAGTGGCATGGAGCTCGAAGAAACAACCCCTGGTAGCACACTCCAGTACAGAAGCAGAGTATCATGGCCTCGTACATGCTACCTCTAAGCTTTTGTGGATTGAATCCCTGCTCACTGAACTGCATGTAGCTTTTCTTCCCCCACCCTTCTATGTGACAACGTTAGTGCAATACTTCTATCCCATAATCTGGTTCTGCACGCACAAACCAAACACATAGAACTGGACATTCATTTTGTCCGTGAAAGAGTTGTTGTGCAACAGTTACTAATTAAACACATTTCACCTCACGCTCAAATTGCCGATACCTTGATGAAGCCGCTTGACACTACTGTATTCTAGTCTCTGTGGTAAACTCAAAGTTCTGTCTTTCAATTCACCTTGAATTTGTGGGGGAGTAATAGAGTAAATATCATATATAATGTGTAGCAAAATAATATAAGCAATAAAAATGTAATAAGTGTAGTCACCTTTGTAACAACCTATATATATATTATACATGTGTAATGTGTAAAGATAAGAAATGAATGAAGGAAAATACATAGTATTTTCTCATTTCCATAACTAATCATATACTAACACTATTATAACACTTACTTAATATTCTAGCCTGAAAATCTGATATAGCAATAACCAATTCTGCTACAGGTGATGGTGGTCCTGTCAGTGGACAAGATTTGAGGAAGTCTCGTAACCTATTGCAAAGTTGTATGCTGTATATGGAAGCAGAAAGATTTGGCAGGTCTACGAAGCTGTGGAAGTATAATATATAGAACCATCCATATTAGAACACCATTAAACTAAAAAATTAGCTTGAAAAACAAACACAACAACTTTTTCGCATAAGAAAGACATTTAGTTTGTGTTATAGCCCAAAAAAGAGAAAAATAATTAATTCCGAGATGACTGAATTTTTTGTATTGCTTCAATGATAAGATCCAAATTACAATGGATACATGATACACTTTATACAATGATCATGACCAGCTAACAAAATCTTAACTAACTTGTAATAAAACTAACTAACTAACTAGTCCGACTATAACAACTAACACTAACACAAAGTCTAATATTATACCTTGCATGAAATGTTGGAAGGGGGGTAGCACCCTGGGAGCTTGCATCTCCTTGGTTCTCTGACTTTTCCATGTTTACATATTTTGATGTAGTTGACTCTACTTTATTAGGAGTACTAGAAGCTGCAGAAATTGGAATTTCGTCATTAGTTTGTGTTATCACAGTTCACTAGAACCACAACAATGGATATATATATATATATTATGCACCAACTATATCATGTACCTAAAAAAAAAAAAGTTAAAAAAGAATACTTACTTACAAAGCGAAAAATAAATTTGAAACGATTCTACCTCATTGTTCAATACGACAGAGGATGCACTTTGCATTTCACAAGAAACTTTCAAATGAAAGTTGAAACAAATGCAGTATAGTTACACAAAAGCTTTAGACAACAACGACCTCACTAGTTTTCACTTTGACAAAGTATTCAAAAGTATAACTTGTAATGAATTCAAAAAGACCATTACTTTGACAAACATTCATTTAGATTGAACTTTCATCTTTGTCCATTTTATGAAGGTTATCTTGCTCCTCCTCATGTTTTACCAATTCTGGTTGATCATTTCCTTCTTCGGCATCATTGGGTATATCTTATTAAAGATACACCTACAACATAAAACAAAATACTTTTTTGATATTTTTCAGATAATATTCATTAAAAGTAACTTATATAGCTTTTACCAAATTTAGAATACTTGTTGATGCTTTCTAGATCACATCATCTTTTCATTGCCACAAAGTCAACGAATTTAGAGATGTCACCTATCATATGCCTTGAGCTACCACAGATGAGAACCCATATTCTCTTATAGAGCCATGATACTTTTTCTACAAAATCAATAAGATAAACTAGATACCCAATCTTCATTGGGCCCTTGAGAGTAAGTGAAACCTTGGTTGTATTTACACTACAAAATAAGTTGAGTTTTGCCACGTGAAAGCCACGCCGCTAACACCCAAATCAGGTCACTACTCAAATTTTGCCACCTTAAAGAACACGTCGCTATATAGCGCGTGGCAATCTTCACTACGCCAAAAAAGACCTACGAAAGCGCTTTTTTTGGCCTTTAAAAGCGCTTTCTAAGGTGGCGCTGCTAAAGGTTTTAGCAGCGCTTTTTGTTTAATGAAAAGCGCTCTCATAGGTCTACTTATGACGGCGCTTTTTCTAAAAAGCGCTCTCTTAAGTACCCTTATGGCAGCGCTTTTTCCAAAAAGCGCTCTCTTAAGTAGGCTTTTGGCAGCGCTTTTTCTAAAAAGCGCTCTCTTAAGTAGGCTTTTGGCAGCGCTTTTTTATGAAAAAGCGCTTTCATTGGTGGCGCTTTTTTTGGAAAAAAGCTTCCATAGATTGTCTTTTAGCAGCGCTTTTTCTTGGAAAAGCGTTGTCATAGGTCTACCTATGAAAGCGCTTTATGTGAAAAAGCGCTGTCATAGGTTTACCTATGAAAGCGCTTTTCTCCAAAAAGCGCTTTCATAGGGTGTTTTTTTTTAGAGGTATTATTTATATCATTCATATACCTGCATTGTTTGCCATAACCTGTAATTCATAAATAGCGGTAATGCATTGTAATTCTGATACCCCGTTCTCGTACTCTTTCGACAATCGATTGGAATACAACCGTGTCTTATCCATGGTTTACGGTTTCTGAGTCAAAACCAATACTCAATATAACAAAACCAATACTCAATACTTTTCACTAAATTCATTTTATTCTATCAACTACTTTAGTACACAAGTATAACACAAGAAACCATAAACAAGAAACTATCATTGCTCAAAATCAATCATAAATTATGTTTGTATCTCAAATTATATATAAACCATTGTTATCTGTATTCTAACTCAAAGTCAGTATTACAAAATCAATTCTAACAACAACTAAACCAGTCCTTATATTATTCTCTGCTCAATAAAATATTGACACAACTCCTCTTTGGTTTCTTCCAACTGAAGTTTCGTGTAATATGCACATTTGTACTCATCGAAGTACTACATAAGAAAACATAATATGCATGATTTAGTTAAAAGTAAAAAATTATATGGAATATCCGAGACTCATGATTCAGTTCTTATTCCCATCTATACCATGTCCTCCCTTGCTTTAAGACCATCCTTAGACTTTCCTTTTATATTGAGTAACGTACCAATAACACTGTCAAATACATTTTTTTTCAATATGCATAACATCAAGAAAATGTCTTACGTACAAAGATTTCCAATATGGCAATTCAAAAAAAATCGACCTCTTCTTCCACCCACCTGTAACAACTTTATGTGCAAAAGGCTTGCCAAACTGAATACTCACATCTTTCACCTTTTCAAATAATTGATCACCTGTCAATCCAGGCGGAGCTCTACGTTGTTCGGTATCTCCGTTGAACGCTTTTCTCCATCCACGATATTGATGTTTAGAATTTAAGAATCTACGATGACCGAGAAAGACATTCTTCTGACAAAGTTTCAATCGCATCGTATCGGTTCCATCTTCACAGATAGGACACGCTTTTTCACCTTTAATGCTATACCCGGATAGATTTCCGTAGGCTGGAAAATCGTTAATTGTTCCAAACAACATCGCCCTCAAGTTGAAACTTTCTTTCCTATACCCATCATAAACCTCCACACCGTTCTCCCACAAAATCTTCAAATCTTCGATTAAAGGTTCCAAATATACGTCTATGTCATTTCCTGGTTGTTTAGGCCCAGAAATTAACATAGATAACATCATGTACTTACGCTTCATACATAGCCAAGGAGGTAGGTTATAAATCATAAGAATTACAGGTCATGTACTATGCGAGATACTTTGAATACCGTGTGGGTTCATTCCATCAGTAGACAATGCCAAGCGAAGGTTTCTTGTGTCTTTTCCAAATTCAGGATAATCATTATCAATTTTCATCCACTGTGGTGAATCTGCCGGATGTCGAAACTTTCCATCAACAATTCTTTCATCTGCATGCCAAGTTAAATGTCTTGAATCGGTTTCACTACGATACATCCGTCTAAATCTCGGAATTATAGGAAAATACCATAAGAATTTTGTCGGAGACAACTTTTTCTTATATCGAGGGGCACCGCATTTAGGACACTCATTTAACGATGCATACTCGTTTCGAAACAAAACGTAATCTTTTGGACAGGCATGTATCTTGTCATAGCTCATGCCAATAGAGTACAACATCTTTTTGGCCTCATACGTTCGATTGGAGAGAATATTATCCTCTGGTAGCATATCTTTCATAAGGGCTAATAACTCTGTGAAACTTTTATCCATTGCCCGCCTTTAAGTTGTACAACTTTAATACCGCAAACAATCTTGTGAATTTTGTACAACCATTATACAACGGTTTCTCTGCATCGCTTACCAACCTCTTGAACATTTTGGGACAATCATTAAGATCTTCTTCAAGCGCTTCTGCAATCTCTTCAACTCGATCATAATCGTATGTATCTGTGCCATTGTCGTTTGAAGCATAGGTCCTATTATCCCCCGATTCATCATTCCCATCACTTTTCTCACCATGCATATTCCAACATGTATAACTTCTATCAATTCCATACCGTATTAGATGTGATGCCAACTGAACCGCGTCAACCCGATTCCCATAACAGCAACACAAACAAGGACATGTCATTCGACCGGGGTCTTCAGCATGCGCAACAGCAAACTTAACGAATTCCGATACCCCGTTCTCGTACTCTTTCGACAACCGATTGGAATACATCCATGTCTTATCCATGGTTTACGGTTTGAGTCAATCTGAGCTAAACAAAAACTTAACTTAATCAATTTATCGAACACTTGGTGTGAAATCAATTTTAATCAGATTTTTCTTTGGTTTTGTTGATATGAAAAATCAATTGCAATTTTATAGATTACAATCAACTCAACAAAAAATTGTTTAAAATATTATTGATAAGAAAATTATCTCAATATGTTGATTGCACAATCAATGAATTCACAATTTACAATAAAAATGAGTGAAAGAGAAGGAGAGATAAATTTGTTTAAGGAGTTCTCCTATCGATCTAAGGGCACACCTTCCCTTAATTTCAATGAAATTGAGATAATAACTTAAATGAAATTTCTACGACGATTTTTGCGGCCGTAAGAGTCAACCGTCGTTAATTTTTTGGTTATGTAAAGGCAAAATATATAGAATCCCTTTGGTGGAAGGTACAAGTCACATTTCATGTCTTACGGCGGTCATAAGAACCGACCTCGCTCAAATTCCACGACCGTTCTCCACCAGCCACCATGTTCCTATATACCCATTTTCCAATTTACGCGGCTATGTTTTCCAAATTCTATCGCGTTTTCATTTTCTTTCAGAATCGTAAACCCTTGTACTTTTTCCATCCAAACTGAACCGTATTCCATTTTCCTAACCTAAAATTGCAAAAATTTCTTGATCTATCTAATAATATCAAATCTGCAGAATCATTTTTCTCTCACATCTCATGTACAAAGAAATTCAGTGAAGGTAAAAAGATGCAACTTTATTATATTAATTCATTGACAAGGTAAAAAGATTTTATACAATAATATCTTTCGTAGATGCAACTTTATTGTATTAATTCGTAAAACCTCTACAATATCTCTATGATTTGATTTAATGCCCATGGAATCATTTGTTGATTATGTTTGTGTTGCGTTAGTATAAAATTGGTAACTTTCCTAAGTGTCTAATCAATTGAAGAAAATATTTTGTATAGATTGAAAAGAAGAAACAATCACCTGACGGTTCTCTTGTTTTCTGACGATTTGACACGTTTGAGTTCTCCGGTGAGATATGTTGCTCTGAATCGGAAGGTCCTGAAGAAGTTAAAGAAACCGATTAATTTCCAAAACACATTAAACAAACATCAAAAGACAGAGAGCCTTAATCGGGAATCACAATTACCTGCCGTCCAACTAGTGTGAATGAGAAACACTAATTGTGCCTGCTAATCAATGAAACAAGAATTTTGTATGTCACTATGGCTTCCAAGAATATATTCCGTGCCCGATTATTCAATAAACGCTCAATAACTTTTAAAACATAATCACCTAACGGGAACCAAAAATTCAACCAATACCTGCTTATTTGAAAAAAAACAACAAGAATGGCACTACAAACCCATTCTACAAATCCACAAACCTCAATGGATTTCATGTAACCTACAAACCCAATCAGCTCTAAAGAGATTTACTATCCTTAATCATATTTTAATGGCACTACATTCATGTCTTCGATAAAGGAAATAACAGACAAAGCATTTACCGTTTCAACATACACAAGCAATACACTGTAAATGAGAAGAAAATAATAATCAACGAACCTTGTGAAGAGATGGACGACTCGTGCGGCGGCGATGAGGGTTGACGATGGTGGCTACCGTGAAAAATCACTTTGGACGAAGAAGGAACAGTAATGAAAAATCGCTTTGGGACGTTGAAGAGTGGAGGAAACACAAGAGTCACGTACAGTACCAACACAAAGCTTTAATCAAAAACATTAAAATTTATTATAAAACAACCTACGAAAGCGCTTTTAAAAGCGCTTTCTAATGGTCATGTATAACACCGCTTTTTCATAAAAAAACGCTTTCGTAGCATACCCTATAGCAGCGCTTTTAAAAGCGCTTTCTAAAGGCTAGATTTAGCAGCGCTTTTGAAAAGCGCTTTCTAAGGATGACCTTTAGCAGCGCTTTTGAAAAGCGCTTTCTTAGGTTCCCTCTGAAAGGCACCCTTTAGCAGCGCTTCTCAAAAAGCGTTGTCTAAGGGTGACCTTTAGCAGCGCTTTTGAAAAGCGCTTTCTTAAGGTACCCTATGAAAGCGCTTTTTTTAAGCGAATTTTTTTTAATACCTACAGCAGCGCTTTTTCCTAAAAGCGCTTTCGTATGTGTGATGCTAAAGCTTATTTTTGGCGTAGTGCTTGTTGCGGCGTGAAAAACATGTCACCAAGTTGCCACGTGAAATTCACGCCGCAACATACTGTATAGGATAAAAGCAATTCAGAGCAGAGCAAATCAGAGCAGTGGGTCAGAGCAGGTTTACAATTTTTTTACGTTAGCTTTAGCGACGTGTTTTTCACGTCACTAATTAGTGACATGAAAAACACGCCGCAACCTGTTTTATTTTTAAAAAAAATATTTTCTGTTTTAAATATATTAATTATGTTTTAATAATTAATATTATTTTTTATTTTATTAAATTTATAAATTAAATATTATAATTTAATTATTAAATACAATATTATTAATCAAATTATCAAAAACAAAACTAAATATATCTAAATGTATAAATAAATATACTTAATATTATAAATTTAATAAACTCAAATTTAAATTTATAATATTTTTAAATATACCATATCATTATAAATTTATATTACACAAATAAAAAACTAAATACAAAATAAAAATAAAACTAAGAAGAATCATCGTCGGAAATGTCGGGAAGAAAGTCATCATTATTTTGGTGGTTATTATTTTGGCCACCACTGTTGGGATTTCTACCAAATGCTTGCATAAATTGTCACATTTGCTCCTCCATATCAGCTTGCCTCTTCGCCATTGCCTCAATTTGTCTATTATGTTCACCCCTCATTGCCTCCATTCGGGCATCCATTTGGGCCTTCAATGCCGCCTCACGATCTTCGGACTCGCGCTTAGCCAATTGTCTTACCAGTTCTAACTGATCTGGTGTCAAATTTGTTTGACGTGACCCTCCTTCACCGTCTGCAGCTCTCTGCTACAGATTTCTATCCCCACTCCTCAAGGTGCCCGCCAAATTTCCACCACCAAAAAAACACCCGTTAGGCCCCTTTCCCCTAACAACTTGACTCCAAATATAGAAATCCACATCTGGGTGAACCGGTTTTTCTGGAGGAGGCGTATACTGAGGATTATGGGTCAGAAATTCTACAAGCAACGCCTGATAATCCTCCTACACATACAATAAAAAAATCAAGTTAAATGTATAAGTAACATTAATGAAATTAAATGAAATAAAAAAAATAATAAAAAATAAATAGCCACGTGATTGTAACGCCACAACTTATCAGTTGCCACTCAATTTTCACGCCACAACATGTCACTTGCTACATGAAAATCACGTCACAAAATTGCTTAAAAAAATATAAACATAAATTTACTTAACAGGGCTTTTTTTATGCGCTCGTCAGTAAATCCTCCAGATTTCTTTGTCCGAGTCTCCTTAACCAGCTCTGTCATCAACGGTTGTCTCCCCAAATGCTTAGCCTAAATATAAAAATTAACTTAAATTAATAATATGTTATAAATCCAAATATGACCTTAAAAAGTGGTAATAATTACCATGCGTCGAGCATGCTCAACAGTACTAATACTTCCAACAGCATTAATGCAACCCCCTTTTTCAGATGCCCTCATCTTCTTTGCAGTTTCAGATTTAGCCTTAAATTCATCTGATTCCCAATACTTAAGAAGTTGTTCAAAAACTTCTTTGCCTATCCATTTGGGACGAATGCCCAAAAGGTGCCAATTCTCTCTAACACGTCGTAGCATGTCAGAAAGTCGTCTTGAACTCCTCCCAAAATATTTTTTTTTTACTTTGTTATGGTTTAGGGGATCCCAAACACATTTCGCCTGCAATATTGTATGACATTAAAATAAATAGTTAGATAAATTATAACAATAATGAAAAGGTAAGTTAAATAAAAATAACTTAAGAAATAAATTAATTATACCTGAAATTGCTTGAACCATTCTTCTTTATCGGAAACTTCTCTAAAACTCTTCAAAAATTTTGTATAATTCTGCTGAATTATATAATTGATAACCTTAGCAGCAGTCCGACTCGGCCCGAAACTAAAACAACAATAATTGAATTAGCATAATTAATTATATAAAGTTATATTAAAAATGGAAATGTGTACTTATAAATAAAAATCAATAAATAAGAAACTTACGAGTTCCCTTCAGGCCATATCCAAAATCTCCCATCAATGGTATGAATCTCACTCGGATCATCATCCCCTCAAAGATGTCTCCCATCTATCTGATCATCATCCCCACCAAGATCGTCATCGTCCGACTCTGTGTGGGATGTGAGGGTGCGACCAGTCTGTGTGGGTCATGAAGAGGTGGATCCTCCATACTGCTGGACGGATGGGGGCATCTGGGTAGGAAGTGGGGTGTTGGATCCTCCAGGCTGCTGCACGAATGAGGGCATCTGTGTGGGAAATGGAAAACTGTGCTGGAAGGATGATGGCACCTGTGTCTGCTGGAAGGATGGCACCTGTGTCTGCTAGAAGGATGAGGGCACCTGTGTCTGCTGGAAGGATGAGGGCACCTGTGTCTGCTGGAATGGTAAACCAGGTGGGGCCCCAGATGGACTAATAAAACATGTACTCCCAGATGGGAACTGGAGAGGACTCTGAGATGATAGTAATGGAGTAAATGGCATAGTACTGTCCATGGACATATGATGAACCTGACTCTGCGGGGGAGGACACGTGGCTGAGTGAGGTGACTGGCATACTACTACCCTTGGACGCCTGGGCTTCCTACCACTATCACTAGGACCTTTACCCTTATTATCTTTGGGTGGCATTTTTACCTAATTAAAGAAAATACAAGTTAACATATACATATTCTCATGAATACATATTCATTAAATCATTCAATAAATGGTTCTTTGAGTAAAATTACAAGACACAATTCTCATGAATACATATTCATTAAATCATTCAATAAATGGTTCGTTAAGTAAAAT